TCGAGGAACAAATTTCTTTACAAAATTCTCAAAAGTAGTGCTTCTCAGTGATCCTTCAAACCCATCCAATAATACGCAGACGGACGATACCAGCAGTCCTGATTTTCGATCTCCAGACGTTTACGGATTGCGTCCAGTCGATTCTGATGTGCCTGTTCGTCAATTTCATTTTTCGCTTGCGCCAACTTCTGTTCGGTTTCGAAATCCCAGAAAACACGATTTACTGGTTGCTTGTAGCCAGCAGTCTTGGAGCGAATGGCTAACAGACATACTGCAGCTTCTCGGTCATCACAAATTATCGAGGAATTATTCTTTCGCTCCATTCTTTTTTGATAACAATTCTGTAATGATAAGGATTATAAGGGGTACCTTGAGGCTGAATTTAAAACTTTTAAGTGGTACGTAGACGGAGAACATCCTCTCAAAATTTCAGTCTTCCAGTCTTTCTGGCTGTCGAATCATCATTTTCCCGCCAAAACTTTCATGCACCCATACGTGTGAAATACACATACTCGAGACCTGAGTTTAAAATTTTTAGTTCGCACGTACGCTATTCCTGCAAAATTTCAGCTCTCTTCTTGTCTTTTTCCCGAAACCGTTTTTCCGCTAAAAAATCTGCATATTTTTTATGGCACCCGAGCCTGGTGCCTAAATGTACGGGGCTGATGATATTAAAACGGAAGTGTCGCAAATGGCGTAGGCACATACTCCCGAAGTTTCAGCCTTCTAGCATTTTTGGCTCTCGAGTTGAAAGTAGGTAGTAAAAAGTGCGAACTCACAGACACACACACAGACAGTCTCCTGCCAATATGTGTTTTTCGTTTGTATATATGCAAAAGCGCATAAAAACCGAGTTGATCCAAGTTTTAGGAATTGCCAGGGCCTTCCAGAAACAAGCAATGACCACTGATCCTTGACTACGGATAGAAAGCAAACATGCAGCAAGGCAGGGTTAGCAACAGAGGACCAGAATACTGCGGTGTTCGGAAACTCAACTTGAAAACCTATCCTCCCTTCCCTTCTCTCTGATCTGTCCCAATCCGCACATGAAACCTACGCAATATTTTGCATATTATGATTTGTATCAGTGATGGAACCGGGTGGCAGCAGTCCTGGATAACAGACCTCTTTCACTTCTAGGTGGCAGTAAGGCTTTTCGACACATGATAGGTCCAGCGAACTGAAATGGAAGAAAGGATCCAAAAGTTGGGTGTGGGATGAAGCACAAGAAGAAAGGTTGTCAGGATCTTCTCTTTTTCTCTCTGTCTCTCCAATACTCCTTCCTGGAAAATTTGTCCTCAAAGTCTGTTCTAGAACAAGTCTGTTCTAGAAAAAAGAGCATATGTTTTATGCACAGAACATGATTAATAGTAATTAATCTGTATTTTTTTTTCTAATGGATCAGCTAAGTTCATTCAGAAATTCTTCATCCAGCTGCAGAGTTAACAGAAATTCATTAAACACCACCAGTAAATTACTGAGAACCCAGAATACCAAAATGCACATGCTATCAGTGTGGGTATTCCAGTGTTAGTAATGCTGCTTGGATATTCCCACAACTCTGAAGCAACCAAGTCAAATCCTTCGATCCTGGACTGCACACCTCAGAAAATACCCACCGCCTGTTCGATATATGTGTGTCACCTTTTCGAGAGTAAGCCCAACTGGTTGCTTACTTCCTGATGGGTATCATTCACTATCTATGAGGCGAGCAATGTATAAAGCGGGGCCATCTTCGCTTCATCATCTCCTCCACCACAGCCAGTGCTTGCTCTTCAGCTTTCGTAAATGGCCATGTTTCGTATTCGCACGTCGCTGCCACCAGCATAGCAGTATCGGAAAATTGACCGCGGTCCCCTAAAAAATGATAATTTACAAGTTTTAAATCACAGAGCTTTAAATCCCGGATTAAAAGTCATGAAATAGCAGCGAGCGGTGTATGTGAAACCTACACTGACTGAATAGAAGTATTGGCCAGTGTTTTTATTTTGATAAGTCAAGAAAAAGCGATTAGAAAGGAAGGAAGTCCGGTGTTGCGATTCTACATTTTGATCCAGTTTTTGGTTTTGGAGTGAAACTTACATGTGTAACAGATATGCAGAGAAGCACATCCTTGTTCGGCTTTGTAAAAACTCCACTGAATTTACCAAAAACAAAGTTTTGGACTTATGAAAATTCTGTTCTCAGAGTCGAATTGCTGTACTTCAGCCCTGCCCAAACGGGTTTCCAGCATCGCTAATGAGTATGTTGTCATAAAAAACGGTAAAACTTCGCTCTTTTTCAAAAATCTTGCACTCCTTTTTTTGGAGCGCGAGCGAGCAAAGAGGATCTGACGTATCAATATGTAAAAGTTGAAATTTTTTCAGTGAATTATTAAAAATAATAAATAGGCGCCCGATGCATAAAAGCAGAATCTTGGAAGGTGACGGCAGGAAATGAACATCAAGGGCAATGATGTTCTCATGAGATGCCAGCATTTTCCCAAGCTCACTGAAATGAGGTATGGCGGCATGTTTTGAGTGATTTGAGGACGCGCTGAGAGGAATGTCGTTTTTCCAAGACGTATTTTGGCGAGCTGCTCCATCCGTAGCACATAAATCAATGTTATTGCTGGGAGCAGAGCACTTTTTTTGCGGTAAATTTTGAGGGTTTCAGAGAAATTTTCAAATTTTAAAAAACACTGATAAGCTTAGTATGACAAATTTTGAAAGAATGTCCGAAGGTAATAACCAACGACACCTTCGCAAGCAGATGGTTGCTGCTGATATTTGGTGTTGGTACTCTCGAAGTACTTCTGAGTGCTTCCGTTCTGTCTGTGTTTACAGCTAAGGGATAAAACACAGACTGCAAACCTAACTGATTCATCAGAACATGTAATTTTCAAACAATCTTACATGATGCTCCGTTTTGAGCAACTACGGAGGAATTTTTGATTTCTTGATGGAAAAGAAAGCCATGTTCAGGTGGAGGAGTTCTAAATACAGTGAATAAATGATATATCACCCAGGAAGGAGCTGAGCTGAGGACTTCATTTCCGATAATTAATCGAACATTTGGGATATTTCCGAAGAGATGGTTTGTACTTGGCACGAACGACGAGTACCATCCGAAACAAAACAGAGCAAGACAGGCTGATATAGTAAAAAATAACACCCGCCCTGTAGATGTAAATGTGCAATATCAGCACCAATTATGTTAAACAGAGCCTGCAAATTGACTGGGTGATTTTTGGTAAATTTGGCAAATGATTTTTGAGAAAAAATCCAGAATTTGAATACATTCCGCGCCAAAAATTGTGTCTCCCTCTTGCATTATTCCTCAAGAGGCAAAAACGTTCGGAAGAAACTTGAGTGATAGCAAGTG